TGAAACGACTATAAATTCTAAAAGTTAACTAGCTCTGCCTTCGTTCGGCAAAGCTGAGTATAAAGATTGAGGTTCGGGCGTTCTTGTGTGTCACGTAACATCACGCTTGATTTCTCGAAAAAGGAGAAGTCATAAAAGCCAAAATGCATTTATACAGCTGGAATAGTTCGATTACTGTCTACCCATTACGATTTTAGTGACGGATGTGCAAGGGAGCCGTAAGGGGTTGGTGCCGTGAAACCTTATAAGTGTAGTGAGTGTTGGTATAATAAGCCTAAACTAAAGACGTAGTGTTGGATCACCTAGCCTAGAGCCAAGTGTATAAAATTTATCATGAAAGCAAAAATATCGATTCAATTTTAAACTTAAATCGTTTCTGAATTAAACTATTTTCTCTTAGATCACCAACGTTTTTAATAAAAAAACAAGCATCTTTAATCAACGGAGACTCTAAGTTAAGAAATATATATATATGTTTCCAGTTTTGTTGTCTATACATTTCACTTTATACTTTCAGTACATAGACTAACAACAATATTAGGTTATACTTTTGTTGCTAAGCGACATGACATAAAAGCCATTGTTAGAACGTAGTGTTACCAAAACGCATTGGCTTTTCTATATATTAGAAGTTATTAATCTAACTGATTTTTACCAGTTTTTTTTCTATGAATACATCACGAATTAGTTTCATGAATGATTTTAATTTTGATTGCCTCACAAAGGAATTTATTGACGTTTGACTGACTCGACTGCACTTTTATGCCTCTTTGTTGATCAAGCATGATTTCGTAAAATTTATTTATTTCCATTAGCTATGAAATGTGAGGTTAGGATATACTATAGGGTGGGGGTGGTTGTACTTGCCCTGTCATGTTTGAAGCTATAGCTAGTACATATTAAGTCACACCGGTGCAGTAACTATCCAATATCAAGGAAAACTTTCTGTCTGTCTGTGAACGCATCTTTTCTTCAATAACTCCTATATAGCTACTGCAATAGCTATTGTAAATAGTTGAGTTTGAACAAAATTCACATCACAACAAAATTCTAGAAGTCAAAGAATGTAAATAAGGTTTTCAGTATTTTGACTTGTTTCCCATAATAACCAAAACATACAGTAATAAAATATCTAGCTACAATGCGGTGAATAAAACGGTTGGTGCTATTTAAGCTTCCCACTGTCTATTGAATGACATCATTTAACCTTCGATTTTTACTGGGGTTAGAATAAGTGCTTAAGCCTGAATTATAGAAGTATTTCATAATTAAAATATTGTAAGGATATTTCTTACTTCCGGATGTAGAATATAGTTTGCCGTAGAAGCAGAATTCAAGAATATTATTATATTTAATGCATTAAATGTACCAAATTCAGACAGTAGAAATCTTGACCACATCTTTACTATGAAATGAGCTGCTTTGAAGAAGAAGTAACGCAATGCTTTGCTATTGCTGCCAAGTTTATCCACTCAACTGCTATATCTCCTCACTTCCGATTCAGTTTCCCTATTTTATAACAATTTTCTTAGAGAATGAATGCTACTGAAAATCCCTCCAGAGATTTTGCTCATTTTTAGCAAAGTTATGAGTGTTTTCCGCGTTTTCAAAAGAAAAAAAAAAGACAGAGGAATGCAGTCTCCTTTATATAATCCACAAAACTTTTAAGATAAGGCATTTAAAGTGTTTGATAAGAGCTTCAGAAAGAAAGCCCATTATGGACTAAGAGTTCACTTTTTCTTGTAGACTTTCATTAGATCTGTCGTGTTTTTACCAAAAGCAGAGATGGGTATGCAATTTGCCGCTCAAAAAATTAGTCAAATTGCACATCTACTTAATTATCAGTTTATTAATATCCATGTATGTCACATTTCAAACTCTAATCACGTGTGGTGATTATCCATCGAATCGTAATAAGAGAGTAAACAGTCTATTCATAGAGACATCCATTTAGCGATTATAGCTCTACTAGCTTAACTGATCATTATATGAAAGTTGTTCCTGGTCCAATGTAGCCTTAAAAGAGCTTCCTTCAATGTCTATCGAGCGTAGCCTGACGACCACGATTAAACACTGTGGTCCAACATTGTAATAAATTTTGGCAAAAGGCAGAAAGTCATGCATAAACTACAGATGTTAGCAAACCTTCCACAGACATTCCCTGTATACGTGAATGAAATCTTACAAGACTTTGTTAAAACAGACTAAAGAAACACAAAACTCCATTGGAGATACATCAGGGGATTTTACAGTATGTGATCGACTGAGGCTGTAGTGCTTTTAGTTTCTTTAGCCAATTTTCTAATAGAAGTAACCTTTTATTTCGAGTAATAACTGGAAGCCTTTGGCTTGTGAGTCTTCATCAACTTCAAATTCTTGTTCATCATTTTGCCGACAGTACGAGAAGATGAGCCAAGCTGAATCACACTACTTTTTCGGTTAAATGGTCCCTTTGTAGCTTTAATCTTTATTTTGTGGATGTGTGTGTTGCTTCGGATTGCGTTGCTGTCTTAAATGTACCTTGAATAATTATTCAGAATATAGCGTGCTTTGAATCTACATTGATTACGAACATTGCTAGGTGAAAATTTATCTTTGGAAAGGTTTTTTCATATTCTTCCAGTCAGAAATCTATCAGTGCTGTTGTTAAATTGTCAAATAATGGATAATTCACAGTGAACCAAATATATATAGGGTAAACACGTTCCCCGACGTGCCATGGCTCGTATCTGCGATTACACATCTCTGTATTAGCAAAGCCAAGTAATTTATAATGCAATTAAACCTCTATATAACGATTTTTGTGATACAATATTGAATTTACCTGATTATGATTGGAACCATGGAAGGTTTTTATCAACATTAAGAGAGAGAATGAAATTGCTGAAGAACGAAGTATGGTGTGTTCAAATTCGATGACGAGGAACCCACTTTGAGACTAATAAACTGAACCATTAATAAACCATTAAATATATGGTGTGGTATACCTAAGAAAAACAAAGTATGGGGATTCATAGCGTAGTATACAGTCAGAAGACCTTACTTACTTAAACCCTTTCACCCCTTGAGATCATAGGTCATTCACAAATCTTGTCTATCGGACTTCGTTTTCGGCCAGTCTCTCCAATTCTTTCTATTAGTATCATAATTTCCCCCAACTCTGCCTCTACTACCCTTCTCCAGCTGTTAAGAACTGTCCGGTGACATTGGTTTTTGGATTTCCTAAGTATATATCCAACCCAACCTCATTTTCTTTGTTTGATCTGTACATCAATTTTTCCAGTTCAGTTCTTTACCACAGAATGCCACTGATAAATAAACCATTTTATTCCTTCTGCAAGGCAGCTGGTTTACACATGAGGGAACAGCGCCTGCAGGCTCTACTCCTAGGATTGTCAACTAGTGCTCGAGGCAACATTATGGGATGATGAAAATTTATATGTTTTATACCTAAAATTAAAGTCATATCCTAATACTCACTTAACACATAAAATTATTTTGATGACTGATGGTGAGTGGCAATGAGTATAGACTTGACTGGTACATTTACCGAATGATTAATGTTATCTTGTCTATCAACTAGCGTGACATTTTTTTATGAGTGAAAACAACTATCACCGCTTTGAGGTAATCCCCTGCAATTTTAGTATTGATAAGTCTGCACTATTTTAGTCCTCTGCCAACTAGAACTTTCGTCCGAATAAAGAACGATAAACATTTGACGACGACGATCAGTCTCCAGGCATGATGTCTCCCTTATCTCCTAGCCAGAAACGAGGTCATGTAGAGGGCTCCGCGAATATGGTACTAGAAATGTCATCGATGGCTGTATCTCAATAGCTGGAATGACATAGTTTTCAGTGGGGCAAAGCCACAGTGCATGGCCTTAGAAGGATCGATATAACCTTGCTGTGCTTTTTTATAAATAAAATACGTGAACATACCAAGAATATATCTTTTTCTTTTTTTAGATTCCATTAGACTTTAAAAGGGACATCTTGACGAACGACAAGTTATTGTAAATTTCCCTGACTTCTTTTCCTGCCTGGCTAACGTGCTGTAGGTAAAAATAAGATATTGTGAACTAACACACTAATTTATACTGCTTTAGTAATCAGATTTGGCAATGCTAAATTACAGGAGTTTATGATCAAAGCCATAACCTCACTTAGCACCTTAGAGCTCCCTTTATCTAGAACATTACAATAAAATTAAGAAAATCTTGGTCTAGGAACTTCTGTACACGAGCTGTGAGGTAAAGACATGTCGTATTTCCCGATCACATACTGAAATGTTCAACAAGATGTTTCGAACATTTTACCCGTATCCAGGTATACTCAAGGTAACAAGGAAACAGATAACTTTGGATGGTAAATGTTTAATTTTATTTCAAACAAGGCATACTTCACCTCCGAAATTATGAGTATATCTAATAGACCGACATGCTTGTGTTTTACGAACATTATTTCTAATACGGCATTGTATGTAAGCATCTTGTAATTGTATAATTACATTCGTCAGAACGAGAATAAAACAATTTCACTTAGATATAAAGACACGTATATACAGTTTTATGCTTATTTTTTCTGTGCTTGATTAGGTAAAAATGAAACATGAATAATGTTGTAATAATATAAGAAACAGTTTAATTGTATTGCAAACATCTGCAAATTATAGAACTCCTGCCTCCACCTTGACTATAAATGTAAAGGTCATGTTTTAAATATTTCATTTGTTTAAATTTTTAAAGGAATATATGATACATTTACTGCCGTCTTGATTAATTTGTAAAGTTTATTTTGTTTCTTCTCTCCTACCTGCTTATTAAACACTTTTAGTGAACGTTTAGCTAAAAGCAGATTTATTGTTTCAGGCGATTGGGAAGAACATCAATTGCATAATTTTTCATTCTCGGTTACCCACGTTTTGTTTGTTTATATCATTAAAATAACATGGCTATTCTACGTCCTTTTATATTTAATGAAAATATTATTCAACAGATGTCAGCACTTTCATGGGGGCCTTTTTCGTAAAATGTCAACACTGTGATCAAACATTTTCTGGTAATCAAGCACTTTACGCTCTACGGGATCATCTGAAAGCAGTCCATCATGAAATACAGGAGTCTTCAAACAAGAAAAAAGAACTCGGTTATCAGTGCAGTAAATGTAGTGCGTCATTCCCGGACAAAGCTCGTTTGGAGAAACATGAACCTCTTCATATAGTGTCCAGCCAGGTTGGATTATGTTTATGATATAAATATATTTTAAGAAATGGTATAGATAGGCTTTGCCTAATTTTAGTATCCGCATGCTTATAGTACGGTGTTAACTTGCAGTTAAAAAGGCTTTACCATTAAAAGAGTTGAAAACACAATGAACACAAAGTCAAATTTTATTTTGAACGTTAAATTATCTCTTAATATACTGCCACTGAAAGAAAAATGAAGTAATATGAAGATAAAAATAAAACATATCTAAGACCCACTATGATGAAAGATCAGTATATAAAAAATGAACAAACTTGCTGTCAAAAGTGCCTTAAAAAAGGGTATAATTTTAACTCGTAGCAATGGCACACATTTCAAACATGATTTTTTAAACTACTTTCTTCAGTGACTTTTTTTTTACTAACAAAATATACGTTTTATTGTCATTTCATAAAAATATCCACACCAAAGCTATAATAACATACTAACAGCAAGTCATTAAACGATGGTATAAATAATTCTTAACTACTCCTAGATTAAGAAAGAAATAGACGCTTGTATTTACTACTTTCTTTTTTTTTTAATATTAAAACTGATGTATCAAAATGTAGGCGTCGGATGAGAACAATGACATACAAGTTAATGAAACAGTGTAAAGAACGTTCTCGATACATCCTTCAGTAATGTAACTTTTTGGTGTGTTTGTCAAAATAAATAGAGAAGAACTAATCCCTGAATTGTGTATTACCAAGCCACCTTGCTATTTAAGTACATTATTTTCACTGTCAACTGTTATCTTGCGAGAAAGTTATCTCTACGGTCAAACTGATACAGCTAAACATCAGTACAATGATAATGATTAATACAATTAAACATTTGAAATGTATATTACTATTCATTTACATTACAATTATTGAAAAATAAGTAAATACTATCTAACCGTTCTGGTCAAGGTGCTTTTATCACGTATTGACTTCTAGGTACATCACAGAATGCCAATATATTGCTGAAGTTTGGTGTGTGGATTTTCTTACAACAAAGGCACATTGGACTATCTGATATGTCCATCAGGGGAATCAAACCCTTGATATGAGCGTTGTAAATCCGAAGACTTATCGCTTTTCCATCGGGGGACCCAGAAGTTTGGAATTTTATGTATTACGAGACATTTCCATTTTCACGTTTTTTTCTTTCTTTTTTGTACTAAGTGCATTGTAGGTATTTTATTTATTTGTATAGCAACGTCAGATTGGCAGTGATGACTTCTCGAGCCTTCGAAAGTTCAGGTGTCCGGAGTGTGGAAAGGCCTTTAAGTTTAAACATCATCTCAAAGAGCATGTCCGGATCCATAGTGGAGAAAAGCCATTCGCCTGTCCAAATTGCAACAAGAGATTTTCCCATTCAGGCTCCTATTCTTCCCACATGACCAGTAAAAAGTGTATTGTAATGCACTTGAAGGTATGATTTATATTACGAAAATATACAGCCATTCAATCTATATATATATATATATATATATATATAAGGCCCAAAAATCTGCGTGTCTGTCTGTTTGTCCCTTATCTAACTACTCCTACGCTGCTGGGCCAATCTCAACCAAACTTTGTGGGATGATAGATTGGAACAAGGGGCATGATAAAAAGGTTTCACAACCCTCCATTGTTGCTGTTATTCAACAGTTATTATCGTTGACGTAAGGTAGTTACATTCATAGATGGCACCACGACCTTGCACAAAAAACAAACAAACTTTATTACATTTTCTATAACGCGGCCAATGACCGTCAACTAATTAATCACGTTAAGACAGAGTAAACACATGTGCTCTTAGTGTTTCAAAGAGGTCGCACGTTGCTTCCTGTCTCGACAGTAATTGTAAGTAAATTGTATAATATATATCTGTGTATATATATCTAAGTATTGTTAGTCTGTAGTTTCCAAAACAGTCAACTTTGTGAAGTGTACACACAAACTACACCCATACACCCTACAAGATGCCCAAACTAGTTTTGAGATCACTGTATTCACGGGAATCAAAAATAGCCAAGAGGGTGGAAGAAACTGCTGCAACACAAGCTCTAGATAGGGAAAGGATAGCAGAAGAAGAGCACAACAGACAGTCGATTAAACCGATGCTAAACAAGAAGGAAACTGTGGCTGAATGACAAAAAGAAGAGCGAAATAATCAGTTGCAGAAATTGCTGCTAGAGGAGAACAAGATAGACAATATCAAGCTCAAAGAAGGGTTGCTGCTGCTGAATGATGATCTGGAATGTATTTCAAAACAGCTTATGATTATGATCCAAATCATTATTTGAATCAGTGTCTGTATATAATATGGAAATAAGATCCTTAGAACGCGATTTTTGCAGGGCTAAAAAAATGTATCCCAGTGAAAAGCCAGTACTGTGTTGTGATAATGGTAAAGTTGAATTGCAACCTTTAAGAGAACCACTATCACCTCTTAATGTACTCCGTCAGGGAAATACTGAAGAATCTAAAAACATCCTTACCAACATCTATATCCATAAAGCACAAAAATGTGTGATTGTCTGTCCATTATTCAACTACTCTTAGGTCACTGGGCCAATCTCAAACAATTCTTTTAAGATGATAGTTTGGAACAAGGTTCACATTGTTGTTGTTATTGAGCATTTATTATCTTTGATGTTAGTTAACGTTAACTACATTCACAGATGGCATGGCGCCATGCCTTTATACAAAAAAAATATATTACATTTTTCTATAATACAACATACACACAATGTGGGGAGAAGCCACACAAATGACTTATATGTATCTCAGAGAATGCGCTAGCACTCTCTATGGAGGAATGCAATGAAAAAAGTGGCTGCTATTATTGCAATAATACATAAACTCAGCTGAAGTTTCTACTCCAACAGCCATAATAAGGGTGATATGAAGAGTCGTTTGTTGAATTATACCCACTTCCTACTTTGGCCTATGACCTTTCAACTGCGGCCCGTAAGACCGTCAATTAATTAATCACGTGAAACACTGTGGAAGGACATTAAGAGCTTGGTGTTAATAGCGAATAACAGAAAGCACATCTACCATCACTACATTGGCCCTTACTTCTTCCTTCAAAATTACCCAGACCATCACACAGTGTATACCATGTTTTAAATATATAAATAATGAGTTTTTAAAGCGTATACAAAATTTTTGGTGAGGTAATAATGAATATTGTAATAACATATTATGTTGTGTTATAAGTAAATTTTGTGAAATTTAGCATTTTTTTGTGTTATTTATCGTAGCATCCACCACATATTTTTTTTTGTCAGTTCATAACCATTACGAAGGCCGGATACCTCAGCTTGTGGTTAAATAATTTAGTACCTTTTACCTAATTATTTATCGTAGCATCCACCACATATTATTTGTCAGTTCATAACCATTACAAAGGCCAGATACCTCAGCTTGTGGTTAAATAATTTAGTACCTTTTACCTAATTATTTATCGTAGCATCCACCACATATTATTTGTCAGTTCATAACCATTACAAAGGCCGGATACCTCAGCTTGTGGTTAAATCATTTAGTACCTTTTACCTAATTATTTATCGTAGCATCCACCACATATTTTTTGTCAGTTCATAACCATTACAAAGGCCGGATACCTCAGCTTGTGGTTAAATAATTTAGTACATTTTACCTAAAACCTCGAAAACTTAACTTTGATTCTGTTTTGTATTTTACGTTTGTTTTTGTTTCTTTCATGGCTCGTTGTTTGCATGATTGTTGTTATTATACGGTTTAATGAAGCCGGGCGTGGCTAGTGGTTAAAGTGCCTAGAATGTTAATCCATAAGTCTATGGCTTGTGTCTCATTGTCTACAAAATGAGCTCTGCACTTTAGGGCTGTGGATGCGATATAAGAGTAATTGTCAAACTCTACTATCTTCGCTCAGATAAGAGTAGCCGAAGAGTTGGCGGAGGATCCTGTTTACTACTTGCCTTCCCTCTAGTCTGTCAGTTTAGAATTAGAGACGGCTATGACTAGATAATTCTTGTGTAGCTAACCGCGAAAATTCCGAAACAAATCAATTAATGTTATATTTTAATGAATGTGTTGAATGTTCATCGTTCCATTTTCTCGTCATTAAAAACCTCATATGGTACAATGTGTAACTTTATAATGCAGGTATCTAAACGAAACTCTTCCTTAGTGTCAACTACAAACAAAAAAATCTAACGTAGCTATGTATTTCAACTTTTCGTGTCGCAGGAGAATCGCCACAAAATGAAAGTACTTGATATTATCAAACCCGTTCATATGAAATCGTTAGAGTTGATTAAACTTGTTAAAACGGAATAAGTGGATTTAGTACTTACTCGGGTAAAGATATTAGACTTCATTAAACTTTAATCAAAGAAAAATGTTAATCACATTCAGATGAAAGTGCTAGATTTACGCCAACGTTTTCATTGTGCTTAAACTCATTCAAATTTTAAGCATTAGATGTGGTTATCCGAATCAAATGAAGACGTTAGATTTAGTCAAACCCGTTCATGTGGTTAGGAAAAAGCCTCCGATATAGTCAAACCCGTTCATATGGTGAGTTTAAACAATAGATTTAGTCAAACCCGTTCATATGGTGAGTTTAAACAATAGATTTTGTCAAACCCGTTCAGGTGGTCAGATGGAAGTGTTAGATAAAGGTCAAGCACGTTCAGATGGTCAGATGAAAGTGACATATTTAATCAAACCCGTTCATGTAGTCAGATGAAAGAGGTAGATTTAGTGAAACCCGTTTAGATGGTCAGATAATAGCGTTAGGTGTAGTGAAACACGTTCGTATGGTCAGATGAAAGTGACATATTTAATCAAACCCGTTCATGTAGTCAGATGAAAGAGATAGATTTAGTCAAACCCATTTAGATGGTCAGATAATAGCGTTAAGTGTAGTGAAACACGTCCGTATGGTCAGATGAAAGCGTTAGATATAGTGAAGTCGTTCATATGGATAGATAAACGCGTTGGATTTAATAAAACCCTTTCAGGTGGTCAGATGAAATTGTTAGATTTTTGCAAAACACATTAATTATATACTTAGGAAAACGTTATATATTTAACCAACTCAAACACTCAGACTGATTACAGTAAAATCTTTATATTTTCGTTCTAATTTTGCCTTCTTAATAGCGATAACATAAGTCGTTTTCTTTTTTATAGGTTCCAAAATTCGACAACAAACCATCACGATATTTTAAAACAACTCATAATAATATCCGCCTTTTAGCCCCAAAGGATTACATAAATGGTTCTAAGGCTAACGAGTGTTTCGAAGATTATGTGCCTAAAGAAACTGAATGTTTACCTGCTAATAACAACCAACATAACTCCCAAGCCAGAGAAAATCTCTTTCGTCAGACTGCTCTTGTCTCTATGCCTCGGAAGACATTTCATAAGTCCTCAAAATTCAACATTCCTGCAAAGTATCTTTCAAGTTTTCGTTCTTCTCCTAATGTTATATCCACTTCCGCTGACGGGTCAGCTTCATTTAATGAAGAGTCTGCGTCTAGGTTACAAGCTTCCAGTTTGACTTCAGTAATAAGTACACCATTAAAGTCTTCGACAGCTTTTCTTAAAAAGTTATTGACAAATGAAATTAATATTTTTAATAAAGTACCGATTAGATCTTTGCAAGTAGGAAACAATGACTCCAAAACTCTTAAAGAAATTCTGAAAATCGTTGACGAAACAGTTACTAAAGAACAACACAGCTATGACGCCAACAACAGAGGGAACAAACTTCTGTCCGAACTCTTGAGTATACCTCCTCTGATGGTGACTTCAGGAAAGTTTTTACACACACTTAAGAAAGTATCTAATTCAAAGAGTAACGGAATGTTTCACGAGCGCCAAGGTAGCAAACAGTTTGCTGATGAAGATAGGAAACTTCATAATGAGCCCTTTATGCATGGAAAAAACTTAAAGAAAGCTAATGGCTATATGAATGCCAAGAATTCTTCTGAAGCTGATTTCATTGATAGTGTTAGGATGAAGAATATTGATGGCTCTGCTAAACGACGCTTAAAAACAGCCTGGAAAAGCCTGGAAAGTTCATTATCGAGATCATCTCCAAAAAATGAAGACCAACTTAACAAAAGTAAAATCGATGAATCAACAGACAAAAAAGAAGATTTAGTTAGAAGTATCTTAGGCAAAAGTAACTTAAAGGCATTACATTCATCTTATGATTATAACGCAGATTTTACAAAAAATGAAATTATGAAAATAGGAGGAGAATTGAGATGTTCTACACGGACGGTGCAGTGTTGGTTTCACTCCGATGTAAAGAAACCCAGTCGTATATTTAGTCCAATAAAGGTACCGACAGTGTCATTAGCAAGTCGAGCAAATACAGAAGTATCAATATCTCATTATGTCCAGCCATATTATAATAGGTACTGCTTGAATATACCACAGTACAAACCTCAGTCTCTACATGTTTCTCCTGCCACGTCAGATTTTATGTCAAACCATAATGCTGTGGATTCGGATGGAAGAGTTATTCCCCCTGCTCATATTAAAACCATGATTTTTGACAACAATGTTCCGTTTATCTCTACGCACAGTTGTGGCTCAGGAAAATTTAAATCTGCATTGATGAAAAATCAGTTTATTTCATCAGATTGTGAGTTACCTCTCGATTTGTCTTTTAAGAGGAAACAAACTTTTAGTTTCTTTGAGCCCATGAGAGATTCGTCATCAACGGGTGTTTTCTATCACCACGAGAGCACGAATATCAGTCCGAAGTCCACCCGAACAACAGGTAGAACAGTTCAATCACATAGTGCTGCTAAAGAAAACATTACTGCCTTAAACCACACGAACGAACACCAAATAAATTCTTTTAAGGCTTTTACCAAACATCGAACAGCAGAATCCGTGATATACAATGATCTTATGTCCAACGATAGTACCTCAAGAAAATTATCTCCATTAGTGGATCAGTCCAGTTCAATAACCCCGCATCAGGATCCATCAAGAATATCCGAGATTGATAACTGTAGTTCAATTAACCCTACTACTTTCTTCATCCTAGGACCTGATTACAACTCACCAATTAGTGAAGGACCATTATCTCCTCACAAACAGAACAGTCTAGATGGAAATTGTGGCACCAAAAGTTTTTGTCTAGACAATAATGGACGTTGGCAAGAGGTCAGATTGAAGAATTTCCGTAAAAAGGTATTGCTATTTTCCACCATGATCTAAACGTATCGATTACAAATATTGTGTCACATGATCAATAGTGTTATTTATTACAATCGAAAACATATGCTCTGAGATTTTAAGTGATAAATTACGTTCGTTCTTTTACAGGGATACGCGATTTATTTGTGTTTTCACGCAAAACTGGTTCTCAGATTAATATGAATAGTTATTTTAACAACACGAGTAAAAAAAAGTAGATTAAGATGTAATCGCTCTTTTATTCTTACCAACTTCGTGTCAATTTGTGATTATAAGGCATTTTAATATTGTGAAATATATACGATGATAATTACGTTATATGCATTTAGGTTAAAAAACCAGAAGATGTCGCTGTCATGAAAGAAAAGGTAGAAGTAGAGGAAGAGAACGAAGTTGAGGTGAAGAAGAAGAAGAAGAAGAAGTTATCAATAGAGAAAACAGATAGTGAATGGTTGTTTGAATGTAACCAGTGTGCTAAAGCGTTCACCAAACATAGCTCTCTTTCGCGACACAAATACGAACATTCCGGTAAGTTAAATAATTATTTTTGTTTTGATTTGTTGTATTTTAGACACTAAGTTCAACAATGTTTTACAAGTAATGACGTTTATGTTACTTAACGAATAATTTGAGAACTAAATCTCCAAAGAGTATTTATTTATCCATCTATAAATTTAGTTAATTAATAAATATACGGTCATGTTTTCAACTAATCGTCAGAGCAGCAGTTTAATTATAAAGGAATTTATTAATTGTCTTTGATGCTTATATTTTATTAATGTTCATTGTAAAATGTTTTTGTTATAGCTTTGAATTTGGCCCGGCATTGCCAGGCGCTTAGGGCGCTCGACTCGCAATCTATGGGTCACGGGTTCGAATCCCCATCCTACCAAACAGCCGTAAGGGCGTTATAATGTTTCGGTCAATCTCAGTATTCGTTGGTAAAAGAGTAGCCCAAGAGTTGGCGGTGACGATTATCTGCCTTCCCTCTAGTCTTACACTGCTAAATTAGGGACGGCTAGTGCAGATAACCCTCGTGTAGCTTTGTGCGAAATTCAAACAAACAAGCTTTGAATTTACAAGCTCATTACGTTTCTTTTTTTTTTAAATAGTTATTGTAGTTGATATTGTCTGTTAGCTATACTCGATAGTTAAGTGATTCTTTAATTGTTTCTGAAGACAGTATTATGGTTTTCCTTTCGTGTTTCAATGAACAATTTTTCTCACACTACTTTAAAGGTCAACGACCTCATCAGTGCGACGAATGTAGTAAAGCTTTCAAACACAAACACCACCTGACGGAGCACAAGCGACTTCACAGCGGCGAGAAGCCTTTCCAGTGCCAGAAGTGTCTAAAGCGGTTCTCACACTCCGGGTCTTACAGCCAACACATGAACCATCGGTTCGATTATTGCAAGCCACATGGAGATTAGAAATCTATAAATATAGATATATATATATGTATAAATCTAATGGTGCCAAAATATACATCTTGCTTCCTTTAAATCTATAAACAAAATAATTATTATTAAGTGTAGCATTGTCTTACTTTGTTTTGCTTAGCTGAGTCAACAACGACTCATTTTCGCCTTTATGAAGCTATTGTAACAAACAAATAATTTTACATATCACTCGTTGCCTTCTCGAAACAACGAGAGAAAAACTTTCAAATTGCATTTCTGAGAATATTGGAATTTATAAAATAATTTGTTTAACCGTGTACTTACAGATCGTGACGAAATTTTTGATATGGTTTATTTTATCCATGTACGTCGCAGAGCGTAACAAAATTTAAAGCATAGTTTATACTATCCGTGTACGTCGCAGAGCGTAATAAAATTTAAAACATAGTTTATCCTATACGTCTACTTACAGATCATAACAACATTTAAAACATGGTTTATTCTATACTTCTACTTACAGATCATAACAACATTTAAAACATGGTTTATTCTATACTTCTACTTACAGATCATAACAACATTTAAAACATGGTTTATTCTATACGTGTACTTACAGATCATAACAACATTTAAAACATGGTTTATTCTATACGTCTACTTACAGATCATAACGACATTTAAAGCATGGTTTATTCTATATGTGCTTCACAGACGTGACGAAATTTTGACACGGCTTATCATATCAGTGGGAATTGTACTTAAATTGGCGCCTTTTATGATATATTTGCTTCCTCACAAAAACATTTGATCTAACCTTGTTTGAAATTTAATCTCAAGTTTTCAATCTGATAAACTGAATCAACTGTCGATTCTAGCTTCGAATAATGAATCTATATTTTTATAATTTGTTTAAATTGCTGATAATATTTTAAAACAGCGTTCTCTATCATTATTATACCTTTAAACAGAAATGGAAAAACAGGTTCGAGAGTCCTGTTAAAAGAGTGTATAGTATATCGTTCATTGCATCTTTCTTTTTCAAATTACTCATAAAGACTTGCTATTGAAAATGAAGATTTTATTATTTTAAAAACGAAAAAAGAAATCAAATTTTTGTATTTACGAATGACCATATTTTACCACAAATTTGGCCTTCTTTGTTTTGTAAGATACTTAAAGTGTCTTGTATGTAAAGTGCCAATTTTAAATATTCAACACAGTTTTTAGATTACTGAGTTATCTTCGTATGTAATTATGTGTTAGGAAGTATTTTTGTTTGTTCTAAGCATTTATACAACGTGTGCCAAAGATTCATCTTTAGTCATGTTTTCTATCACGTCATCACTGGGTGCGTTCCAGAACGAGTCGCAATTCTACCGGTGTTGAAATGTGTCAAGTAATCTATATACACACATACAAAATAATGATCGTTACGTTTCTGATCGTTTGTTAATTTCCCGTAAAAATTCGATCCGAAGAACTTCAGCGATATAAGTCCTTTCTTAAATAAAACTAGTTTATTCTTTCTCAATACAACTTTGCAATACACTTAATTTCCACAGTTTCTTTAACTTAAACACACGCTATAATTCACAACGATTCACGCACCTTGCTTACGACTTGACTCGATTATCTGTCTCTATATCTCCCACTTCTCCTCGCCGATTTATTTGCCGGACTTATATACTAAAATAGAGGGCGCCTAGAAAACACTCGGGCCTTCATGATCCTTCTAGAAACTCATCACGTGTTACTAACGTCACATGAATTCCGCTGTCGTAACAATAATAATAATAAAATCGGCAATTAAAACAGTTTTCTAGTCATTAAGGTTAAGTTATTGTTATCAAAGTTTAACGAGACCTTTGTTTAGCTATGAAATGTGCAACAAGTTTACACTGTTTGGGCCCTTATAGTTAATTAAAATAAGTGATGTATGTCATGTAACAGATAATGTATCGAACTACTGTAGACTTGTGCTTGTCCTTCAAAGTGCCCATAAGTATTGGAAGTTTAGCAACGTAACGAAACCACCAATAATGTTACTAATGGTACTAATTCTGTTGCATTTCATATTGTTGTGTGTGTGTTTTGTTGTTATTGTTGTTGTTACTTACCTTATAATCTTTATAAATCAAAATCATCAGTGTTTAACAAATTCGGTGATTATACTTTAATCACGAAGAAAAATTCATTGTGGTATTTGTCGTTTCATTTTAATATATTGGTGATATCGCTATGGTCCACCCCTTATAATATAATTATATAATTTTTTCTTAATTATTTGTAAAAAAAACAAAAAAACAATCAGCTAATGGTTGTAATTATAATTCATTATAACATATATTGTTACGATTTTAAAATAAGTTATTTGTTTCACGTATATCTCGATTCAACCTCTCAAACTAGCTTGTTTGTATAATGAATGTTTAGAGGTAGCCCATATTGAAGAAAATTAGCAGATATATTCAAATTAGTATTTAAAAATATTGTTGTTTTCCTGCTTGGGAACATAGCAAACTCCATTATTCAAGTACGATACAGTTTAACTTTTAACTCTGCTGTTTAACTTAAAACTATCTAACGTAGCTATTTTTCAAATCCACCAGAAAATAAAATGTGAGAATGTGTTGCTAGAACAAATTACATTTCGCCATATATATGTAGGGGCGTATTAGGGTTAAATGGCGCTCTAGGCTCACAATTTTATATACACCCAGGAAAATTATCCATCAGCACGAAACAACAATAATCTCAAATGTAATGAAATTTATGAAAACTTGTTTCTATTATTTAAAAAAAAATCTAAATTAAATTCATTTTGATTTTTTTTCTATTTTTGTTCCCTATGATGCGTCCCTCGAATTGTTGCAATCTAGGCCCAGACCTTGAAACGTATTGGTTAATACACCCCTACATCTCTGTTGTAATTAATACAACAAAGATTACAAATAAAACCTTATCGTAGGTTTTGACTACATATATCGTTAGATAAATTTTGTCTTTTATAATCTATAAAACATGTTGTTGTTTTAAAAAACAAAAGGTAGGATATTTTAAATACCATACAAAGTGAACCAATAGAGTTTTAGATGAACTGTACTATATAAAGATTGTTTAGACTTAGGATGGATCAAATTAACATCAGTTATGAACCCTACAACTCATAGATTTAAAAGTTGCAAGGTGTCTTATTCAAAACCCAAATTGTGGACAGTATATAAAATTTCTAAAAAATATTTTACATGCTATACAAAGTATGATTTCTTTACAGACAGTATGTAAATATATATTTTATAGGACAATTTTGCCTAATTGTTAACGATATAAAATGCGGTTTTGATTTATGTTTATTCTGTCTCAAAAGGCTACACATATTTTGATAACTTTTGATATAAATACCAGAAAATTTTAAGTGACATTTCATGTTTCATTAATATCAGATAGTCTTAACACTGTCAAACAATTTTTAGCACATTTATGAATTTGTTATGTTGTTTTAGAAAAACACAGTTTATTATAATAATCCATGTATAAAAAAGCAGTTATTATAAATTAATTTCGAACGAATAACTGGGCTTAACTATATGTTAGAAAAAATAAAATGGCCATATATTAATTATTTTGGAATGTTATCTAATAATTTAATTAAACAAGCATTAATTATGTTTATAAAATCCCCTCAGTGGCACAGTCTGTGGACTCACACCCCTAGAAACCTGGTTTCGATACCTGTGGTTGGCAGAGCACAGATATTTCTTTGTGTAGATTTCTGCTTAATTATAAACAAATATTTATACATACTTTTCATGTTACTAATTTCTAATATGTAAAAAAAAAAATATTATTTTTAAAAATTACCATAATCCTACGAGGGAAGAACGTAGATGCAACAGAAATGACGATGATCTTATAAAATTTAACAATTAATGTAACATAAATAGTATTCAACACGTGGTGCAACTCGAGAAAGACAAACAAAAATATTAATGATCTTGCTACATCTGCACAATTTCAGTTTTTGAAAGAAATTGAAAATACTTAATTAACTTTTATCAATTATCAATGTCACCGATAATTTCTGACCTCCAGTTATTAAATATTTAAATATTGAAACTAACTTTTTTAAGAAACTTATTACATGTATTTATATTCTATTTAATTTCATATTTAACCAGGCCAGTAATATATAGAAGAAATATTTTGTTGTTTTTCAGAATTTATAGTGCATAGTGGAGGAATTTAGACATCAATATAACAATAAACGTTTTATTTCAGCCAACGTTTCGCCATTGCGGCTTTATCAGGACTAGTACTACGGAAACCAGTTAATTCCACTCTTGTATTTCCAGCCCTAATTAATTAAGCTGCACTGGCAAAACACTGCCTGAAATAAAGTTTTTTTTTTTATTTGGTTTTTCTACTATCATCAGGAGAATAAGGGTCGTTTTCTCTAACTTTATTGCAAAATGTCTAGAATGAATTTTCTCTGTTTATTTTAGAAGTAAAAATGGTTTGATTTGAGTGCTAATTATTGGTTTTATAAAATGAAACTATTTTTTGGATCACTTTGTTTTAGCAATTTTGTATCGAATTATAATAAGCGGATTAATAATCCCACGTGATTCTAAATTGTCATAGAGGCCTGCTTTCTGGTTTTGATATATTATAAATTGATAAATACATTTTGAAGATATTTTTTTACGTGTACAACATATATTTTATATACATATAAACATAATTTAAGAAGAACAAAGACCTGTTTGTCATCAACTATACTAAATTCTCACTTAAAGATAGAGCACTCAAAGCTAGCCCTTCATTCAAAGCTAGCCCTTATTATTCACATATTTATTGTCTTCCCTTAAACTCCCTTAGATTAACTGCATTTACGACATCTGTAGGCAATTCCTTCCAAAGGTCAACAACCCTGTTAGAAAAATAAAGCTGTCTTAGCTGAATATGACTCATACCCCACCAAAATCTATACCGATATCTCATAGTCTTACCATTCTCACCTTTAAGTACGAAAGAAGACGATGCCTCAACATTATAAATTCCCTTAATAATCTTAAGCACCTCAACCAGAGAAAAC